GGTAAGCATGTGAAGGTGAATAATTACATCTCATGGAAATAATTGCACTACGAATAACAGAGACATAAATTAAAGACGCATATGCATATTACGTTGATATAATTAGGAAGGTAAAAATGTATCATAAGACATATTTACTGCTCATTAGTGTGTTCAAAAGTTAAAATAAGTCGGTGTAGTCATTATTGAAATTCACGATTAGTGCCAAATCTACCGAAATCTCTAACAACACAAGACTTATGTATTTAAAAGACGGTTTCATTATCACGAAGTATGCATAGATCGGGTACAAAATTCAACTCCTAAGGTATCTGTACGTCTGCGAAAAGAAAGGCTTGCAGCAGCAATGATATAAGGGTTAATCGTAACATGGAATAACACAAATTAGAGGTGGTAGCTGTGTCCAAAGCCAGCAATCAGTATTTATAATAAGGACAAGGAGCACAAAAATATGGAAGCCTTGCCCAAACAAACATTTGGGGAATGCAGAAACAACTGTCAGAAACTGCTACAAGGGCGAAGATAATGCAATATTTATAATGCATATGATAAATATGATTAGTTTATGTAAATACTTTGGAATATTACACGACAAATAAACGTACAGTGCACTGTACGTTCAGAAATTATTGGAAATGAAACTGGTTACTGAACATTGAAAAGTAGTATAAACATATATATAAAACAAAATAAGTGGGAAGACAGTAAAGACCGAGAATGTCAAGAAAACTAGATACATGTTTCCTCCATCGATAGGCTTCTAATTATTCGTTTGAGTCGAACTTTCAGAACCAAATTTGAACAGTTCCCTCGGACACTCACTTGCAGACAACCTAAATTTTAGTTTTTTCGGGGGATATCATATGATATGGTAAAATCGTGTGATGCTGATATAGTGAACGAAGACTCGGTGGGGAAGACCTTTTTATTGTTTGATGTACAATTACATAGTGCTTTGGCAAAATAAGGAAACTGTTATATCCTAGCGAAGATTAAATTTCGAGTAAATTCTCAAACCTATTATTGGACTAATATCATCTATATATTCTTATGGTATATCTATTCAGTAATTAGATTATATATTTCTATATTCCCTATATTATAGGCTTTATTTTGACCTATAGATTATCATTGTACGATTTACTCTTCCTAAGTTATGTTCAGTTCACTGACTACTGTCTCCCACGTTCACAGCCACATTTTGGCTTTATTGTGTATAAATGTTATTACCTATTTTATGGTGTGGTGCTGTCTGTTTTTCTGGTATACACACCAAGTATATCTGAAATAAATTATTCTCATTGTAGGAAGCAATTTCCCACAGATTCAACTCGAAGCTAATCTCTAGACTGTCGAGTACAGAGTCTTAGTTTAGCCAAAGTCAGAACAAGCAAGCTATTTGGCTAGATAAACTTTATCTGCTTCTAAAACATAAATTACTATCGTTAGTGCAAAAACAAACAGTACAGTCTATTAATACAGTGAAAAACAGAGACAAATGACATATCGAACAATAGCCAGAAAATAGGAAAAATGATTCAACAAGCCAATACTGTTTCACAATGAACATTAAAGTGTGATTGGCTGATAAAGAGATACAGTCGTACAAGGTCAAAAGGAGTGGATGTGGTGGTGGGCGTTCCCCTTATTATTGGTGGGTTCGTCTATCAATCACATTTTACACTCATAGTGGAGGCTGTTATTGGAATTCTGGACTCAACTGGACGGGCTAGGCGAGCAATGGACCAGTAGGACGGTAGGCTGATCAAACCGGACGAACGTCATTGGTTTAGTACAGTACAAGAGCGAATAAGTCGTATTTGATTGGCGAAGAAATTACGTAATAACTTGAGGGCCATAAAGACAACAAAAACTATACATTAACTACTTGATTTCCACATCATCCATCAGTTCTCTCTCGCAAATTTTATCGTTTCTTCATTGGAGTTGATATTATAATTATTCTCTGTTTACATTCCTGTTCTCTTTAGTTCGAACTCCTCAACCTTCTGCTGCCAGGCATTCCACTCCTTATTGGTGTTACAAACCATTTGTGTCTGTCGATTTAAATAGCATGCACCACACTGATACCCCAGCCTTGAACATATACGTATAATAAATTTTCCCTTGCCTCAAATACAGAAAGCATCAGAGATAAGAGTCATGCATAGCGAAAAGGGATTATGAGTTCACCAGGTTGCCTATCAGATAAATCCGAGAAGTATCACATGCACAAGATAACAGTTTTTGATGATAATTTCTGATTTATGGCAGTCACTTTGTTTACTTCTTTGATTAAGTAGATTAGGTATCACTAGCTAGCGCCTGCAGAATCATATATTTTAAGGAAATTGATTATGATAACACATACTTAATTTATGCTTCAAATAAGAGAAAGTTTGTTTTCGATTTTTCATGTTGTGAGATAATGTATGATGCACAGAATGCAAATAGCAGATATTTGACTAGGTCCTAATACATTTTACTCACTGAAGGGTGTTACATATTAGATCTACGCAATCATTGTCAAACCAATCTCATAATTTTTGTTAATGAGTGCCAGAAATAACTTGGCAGCAAGGTAATCAAGAACACATTTTTAAGTCTATGAAAATCTTGGCTATTATAAGATTCAAGCTATTTTTATAACCTTAAATCGTTCTCGGTAATCTTCAATCTATTTCAGTATTAGAGGTTACGTGACAAATTGTCCATATATATATATATATATATATATATATATATATATATATATATATCTATATATATCAAAATGCATTGAGCACATGCATCACACTTTTCTGATTAGATCAGTCTTCTTATGACCTTGTCAAATTATACTTATTGGTGGCACAAACAGGCTAGTATACAGTAGTATAATAGGTACATTTACTTAAAAATTACTTATTTTGTGTTAATGACTGAAGTAGAATTCCAAATTTCGGTGAATTATCAGAAAAAGTTACTACACTAAAATTTCTGAATTGAGCAAACTCGTGAACGAGAACCCAGTGAACTGATAAAAACGGAGAAAAAGGTGTGTTTTTCCCTTCAGAGTTGCTCTTTTATATTCAGTGAACAACAACGACAATGAAGAGAAGAGTTCAAATTGAAGCAATCATTACTAACTCCTGATAAACTATTAAAGCAGCTCAAAATTACTTATTTACGCCTGTTACCTCTCGTGGAGGAGAATAGGCCGCTCACCACCATTCTCCATCCATCCCTGTCCTGGGCTATCCTTTCCAGTTCTTTCTAGTTGCTATTCATCCTTTTCATGTCTGCATTCAATATTCGATGCAGTATTTTCTTCGGTCTTCCTCTTTTCTGTTTCCCTTCACGATTCCAAGTTAGGGCTTGCTTAGTGATGCGGTTAGATGATTTCCTCAATGTGTATCGTATCCACTTCTAACTTCATTTCCTAATTTCCCCTTCGTTTGGAAACTGGTTTATAGTCTCTCAAAGTAGAGTATTACTGATGGTATCCAGCCAATGGATATTGAGTATCTTACGTAGAAAATAGTTTATAAATACTTGTTCTAATTTGATAATGGTTCTAGTAGTTCTCCACGCTTCAACTCCGTACGATAGAACTGTATTTATGTTCGCATTGAAGATTGTGACTTTGGTATTGGTTGACAGTTTTTTAAGTTCTATATGTTCTTTAATTGTGGGAATGCGGCATTTGCTTTGCCAGTTCTCACCTTTACATCTCCATCCGATCCTCCACGTTCATCGATGATGCTGTCTAGGTACGTGAATATTTCCACCTCTTCCATAGTTTCGCCATCTAGTGTGATTGTGTTGGTATTCTCCGTGTTGTACTTTAGGATGTTGCTTTTTCCCTTGTGTATGTTGGGGCTTAGTGATACAGAGGCTGCTGCTACACTGATAATCTTCACCTGCATTTGTTTTGCGTATGGGAGAGAAGGGTCAGGTCATCTGCGAAGTCCAAATCTTTTAATTGCTGTGGAAATAGAAGTTTATCAATGTCCAGTCTCTCTATAAATAGATTTCCAAAAAGCTTGAAATTCTTATGTTTAGTTTGAAAATTAACAATAACAATACTAACTTTTATACGATAAGGTCGTTAGTTAGAAATTATCTATTATATAGCTCATAATATAACCCATTGGTCTCACTCGGTTTAAGTGCATATCAGTATTATTGTCAGAAAGTTAACTGCTACTCTAAAGCAAAATAAGCACAATAGAGAAGATCATCGTATGGGAATAAACAGATTTTTTTAAACAAGATTTCGAAAGATTACTATCTTCTTAAATCAAACGTATTGTTCAATAATGAGAAAATATGGTCGCTCGAAGTAAAACTTTCATGTGGAGTGTAGATTGCTGAAAGATTGTTTTCAATAATATTAAAATCAGTGATCTTAAGGAGTAAGTGATAAGTAACTTCCTAAATTGAGTAGTTATGTAAGCATTTTAAATGGATACTGGTCATATTAGTCATGCAATAGCATTTAATCACGTTGTAGCCTACTATGGAAGGTTTCGCCTGTTCTAGCTCGTCGGTTCAGAAGTCATAGTTTTTGTTACATCTGCATACGGTTAAATGCATTCTTTATCCAAGCCATCATTTTCTTCTTCCTTTAATAGCTTTAGATTGTTCCGTTAGAAGATACACGGTTATCAGTATTTTCCGATTCTGCCATATCCAAGTTATTTTCTCGAGTTTTAATTTTGAAGTGAAGTTTGTTGTCATGCCAAAGAAATTGGTTCAATTATCTATAAAATGTAGTTTATTATCTCCAAATATAGTATTATTGGTATCAGATATGTAACTAAATATAGGAGTATGCATTTGTTTATATGCATGAAACTACACAGAAACTACCATACTGATTTAAGCTTTAACATATTAAAGGAGAAAGGTGAAATAAAAAGGGATATATTTAACTATGATTTCCAACTTCAAAAAAGACAACAAAAGTGAGTTTAACTGTACTGATTTACTTTGATTTCAAATATATTACCCAGTTAATGCATTTATTAATCACTGCTTTGTTTGGTATCCAAGTTAACAAGTCTATAATATCATCAATAGATCTGGATATGTCGTCAATGGCTCAAGTATTTCATACTATATTTTTTAATTCGGTGTTTCTTGTTCGTCATTGACATTATATTATATTAAAATTGGTGTATTTCGTGAATGACTATGTCCTAATGATGTTCAAACTATCATAATTGCAAGTTTAATGAAACTACAGTACAAAATATTAACAAGAGAGGCCGTTAAGTAGAACTAAAACACCGAATATGAAAAAATTACTAACACCCAAGCATGTACTACGTTAGAATAAAGTTTAAAATTGTAGTGCAATATAACAGAATGTACTATCAATCTGTATGTTAAATTTATCGTAGATACTCGGTGTGAGGTGGCATGTCAGGCTACTGAATAACTCAGAGGAGTTAGGGTATTTTGGTAGCGTGGAATGACTGAACTGTGGTTATCCTTAATTCATTGAACGTACAGACACAGCCATGACACAAATAAAGACAGCACTTGCGACAAAACAACAACACTTAGTACAAAATGTGAAGAATTAACATTTGGAAGTATTATTGATAGCACTAAATAGACAAATAAAATAGTACCTGCAGACGGACCGTAATTTTGACAGAGGATTTCCTAGTGAGAATCATACACTATGAATCCCTATGGAAGTTATGGAGGGAATTTAATTGTTTGATCACATATACTACGTTTTCTTTATCATTATCAACAAAGTCGATGAGTGTTATTAAAATAATGTTAAGATCAATGCCAAACAATATTACCAAAACTTTCAGAAGCTACTACGTACTTTATGAGGCGGAAACTTGGAGAAAAACGAAAGCAATCATCCAGAAAATACAGGTGTTTATTAACAGTTGTCTACGCAAAATACTTCGGATCCGTTGAACAGACATTATCAGCAACAGCCTACTATGGGAGAGAACAATTCAAATCCCAGCTGAAGAAGAAATCAGGAAGAAGCGCTGAAAGTGGATAGAACACACATTGAGGAAAGCACTCAACTGTGTCACAAGGCAGGCCCTCACATGGAATCCTGAATGCCAAAGGAGGAGAGGAAAACCAAAGAATACATTACACCGAAAAATGGAGACATATATGAGAAGAATGAACAACAATTGGATAGAACTCGAAAGGAAGGCCCAGTACAGATTGGGTTGGAGAAATCTGGTCGGTGGCCTATGCTCCACTGAAAGTAACGGGCGTTAGTAAGTAAGTAAATAAGTACGTATGTGAAAATTCAATCAATACAGAATTGAATATCATCTAATTGCTTAGTTTGATTATTTACTCATTAGACTGAAGCCTATATTGGGAGAGTGAGTTTACAAAATAGAAATTCCATGAGAGAGAGAGATAGAGACAGAGAGAGAGAGAGTAGAAATAAGTATTTGACGGCCTGTCAGTCAGTTACAACGTAGGACCAGGCACATACATGCATCAATCCAAGCTGCCAGACCTCATTAGCACAGCAAGACAAACACTGGATTCATAGAAGCAGTTAACTCAATGGTGTAATATATGAAGGAAAGATTTTTCGTAAGGATATAGTACAGGAGGAAAGAATTAGTTCGTAGAAAGAAAGACCCAAAATAATTGACGGTATAAAGTTAGTTCAATGTTCTCATGGTTATTTATTTTTACACTTAAAATTATACTTTAAAAAAATTCATTTATTACTTATTCTATGGAATAATTTATGGGAAAAACACTTCTTTCCTTCTTTCTTTCTGAATTTGATAATTTTTATTTATATTTTATTAGAATTTCATAATAGTTTCAATATGTGCAATGTGAATAACTGAACACCTTTATTTGTGTAAAATCCTAAATTAAGAAGATATTACGAGTTCACTTAATCTGAGAACGAGAAACAAGACTCAGTGACCAAAAACCAGTAAGCTAGCTATTGATGCGTCTCAGCCCCGCTAACTAAAGGGAGAAGTCCAAGCTTGGAATGAGGAAGTATATTCTACAAACAGCCAGAAACGAACGATAACAACAAACACAATTCATACGTATATATACAGTACAAAACCGTCTTTGGGAAGAGTTACCAAATAGCATACTAAAAGACGCAACAGACCAACAGCATTTAAGATATTTCCCAGTGGGAAATACGACATGAAGGTGACAGGAGCGCTATCGGCGCGAAAACAAAGAAATTCAAATGTTCTAAATAAAGTTACAAAATTAGGTCCTTTCCCAAGTGAGTTCTGGGGATCTAACATCCCCAACAATAATCAATACTTTCAAGTATTATGTTGAATGATTTATTGTTTTTTACTTTTTTTTAAAAAACAAAAAAAAACATTCTCATTACTACAACATAAATCATGATTAATATCTTTCTGTTTTACCAAAAAAATTTATATAACAAATACTTAGCAATTATAGTATTAATTAAATTGAAATTGAATATAAAATAGTTAGATTATTGTTTTTAATAAATACAAGTTAAAATATACACTGAATATTCAATTGTTAACTAGTTTATATGTAATACATTGTATTAAAATATATAACATTTTTGTAAACTTAATGTTGATAGTGTATTTTAATTTGTCTTACTATCAACTTCATATTTATGTTTTACTAATTTCTTTTACGATTTCTTCGTTATAATCATTTCTCATGAATTCAGTTTTCATCATCATCATCATCATCATCATCATCATCATCATCATCATCATCATCATCATCATCATCATCATCATCATCATCATCATCATCATCATCATCATCATCATCATCATCATCATCATCATCATCATCATCATCATCATCATCATCATCATCATCATCATCATCATCATCATCATCATCATCATCATCATCATCATCATCATCATCATCATCATCATCATCATCATCATCATCATCATCATCATCATCATCATCATCATCATCATCATCATCATCATCATCATCATCATCATCATCATCATCATCATCATCATCATCATCATCATCATCATCATCATCATCATCATCATCATCATCATCATCATCATCATCATCATCATCATCATCATCATCATCATCATCATCATCATCATCATCATCATCATCATCATCATCATCATCATCATCATCATCATCATCATCATCATCATCATCATCATCATCATCATCATCATCATCATCATCATCATCATCATCATCATCATCATCATCATCATCATCATCATCATCATCATCATCATCATCATCATCATCATCATCATCATCATCATCATCATCATCATCATCATCATCATCATCATCATCATCATCATCATCATCATCATCATCATCATCATCATCATCATCATCATCATCATCATCATCATCATCATCATCATCATCATCATCATCATCATCATCATCATCATCATCATCATCATCATCATCATCATCATCATCATCATCATCATCATCATCATCATCATCATCATCATCATCATCATCATCATCATCATCATCATCATCATCATCATCATCATCATCATCATCATCATCATCATCATCATCATCATCATCATCATCATCATCATCATCATCAACGTCGTCGTCGTCTTTTTTGATATCCTCCTCCTCTTCCTCATCATAATCACTATTGATATTTAAACTTTCCACATCGTTATTCTCACTCTTTTTTGATTTCGTAAATATTTTTACCCAAGGAGGTTTATCATTTAATCGATGCGAATAACCTAATTTCCATTCAGATCTCGATCGTAAATATAAAATTTCATCTCTTAGTTGACAAATGATCATTGGCCAACAACAGCCAACTAGGCAGCATAAATCACTTAGACAATTACCTTCCAGTTTGTGTTTACGTCGAATTTTCATACGTAGTAATAATATGATAAGCATATGAAATGGCAATAATATGATAGAAAATATAAGCGCTATTAACCATGGTAATGACAATGCATAATGATAAATTTCAGCAATTGCAAATGGACAACAACATAAACAACACCAACAATTACCTGCAAAATACAAGATAATAATTTTATTTAAAAATGCCAACACAGTATATATGAGTGAATTAAATGTCATTACTTATCAGTCTCGCACGCGAGCGCTTAACCACTAGACCACCAAGCCGGCATCCAACGGTGTTAATGTCTAACTTCAACCAATCCACGAAATTGCGCCACCGTCACCAGTGTCTTCAATGAGCTGATATCTCACAAGAAACCTGGTTGAACTCCATTGGTCACGACTTCTCACTAGAACTCCAAGAGTGTCTCTTGAAGTCAGTCACTAGTGAGCAGAAGATTATTATCAGAAGGAATTGACTCATGATTTCAACTATTGAAATTACTACAATCTCCACAAAACTCTTGTGATAAATGTTATTGTGTAAATATTACTTATTATAGTAAACAAAATGATTCAATTTAATAATTTAAAATTGTGTGAATCAGTAATCACATAAAATCAATATTTTTATAATATTAGTAATAATTTATATTATTAGTACTAACAATTACCTAGTTCAATATATAGTGAATCTTCCAATATTGTAAGGTGATAAAAATGAAAATGAATTACAAAATTTACTATATGATTCTATGGATTTGACTTGAAACTTTACTTTATTGTGAATAATTCTGTATACCTTGTTGTTTACAGTTCAAATAAGAAGTTATTATTTTAATGAAAAGAATATTGTTTTAAGGTTTCTTGTTTTAATTATTTTAAAGATAAGTGTTAAAGAAGATTTCAAGTAATGATAAATAGTAGTAGTTGTAGTAGTAGTAGTAGTAGTAGTGGTAGTAGTAATAGTAGTAGTAATAGTAGTAGCATTAGTAGTAGTAATAGTAGTTGTGGTGGTAGTAGTGTGGTGTGAGCTACTTATATTGATATGAGTAGTATATAACATGCGTTAAAAGGACGTAATGTCCGGCAGCAGAAGATGGCGAAGATCAAGAAAGGAAGAGCAAGAACACAATGCAATTGTAAGAAAACGCATGTACAATGGAATGGGCGACAATGGATTAGTGTTTGCAACGGGAACAGTACAGTTTGATATGATTGAATGATATTTTGCAAATTGACGATTGACTTTATGGTATTCACATTTTATTGAGATAGTCTGTAATTTTTGTGCTAAATACAATCGATTGTCCCCACCCGTGTTCTTGTTCACTACAGTAGTAGTAGTAGTGGTAGTGGTAGTATTAGTAGTAGTAGTGATAGTAGTAGTATAATTTCATTTGAATGTTTGGTGTATATTATTTACCATAAAAGTAATAAAAACATTAAATAAATTTATGCCAACAAAGATATAATCAATCTAAAATTATGTTGATATTAGTGAATAGAAGAACGATTTAGTTAAGATTAAGTTTCATAAATAATTATTAAGAGAAAATGAAAAGAAAAGTAGATTTATCAGACAGGTTTTTAATAACACCTAGCAACAAAAATATACTCAATTTATATAATAAAGATAAATGTAAGATGTTTAATAACTATTTTGTTTTGAACATTGTATGTAATACTTCTAAAGAGCAATTTAAGCAACATAATGCTTATAACCATAACTTATCTTTCGAAATTGTTTCATTTTTTTATTTTATTTGAACACATAAATATTGGTACAAGAGAGCGCCAAATATATATGCGCCACACAAAACAATGAGAATTCGAAGAGAAAAAGAAGAACAATAACGAACAGATTAGTGTAAGGTAGTGTAATAATAATAGTAATAATGGGGGAAACGGAAAGGTACAATCAGAAGAAATCTTTCAGTTAAGGAAGATACAACCACTTTTTTATGAAGAAAGTAAAAGAAGGTTACATCAGGATCGCCAATGGCTTCTATTCTGAACCATATCTGATAGCGTCTCTAGCCATTGTGTTGCACCATCTCTCGGACCCCAGCCAGGGTGTCGTGAAGGACCAACAGAAGCCAGCCCTTTGCAGCTTTCTTTCATACCACGATACCGTGAAAGAAAGCTGCAAAGGGCTGGCTTCTGTTGGTCCTTCACGACTCGCTGGCTGGGAGTCATAGTTTTCTATGATTAACCCAATTACATTTGTATAACTGATATATCTTAAAAACTATATAGAGAAAATATCTTCAAAAAAATTACAATAGTTTCAGTATGCGAGTATAGAAAAAGTAAAACATGATATATATCACTTTTATAATGATAAAAAAAGCACTGGGTAAGTTTTGGAAAAAAAATAAGACAAGTATTTTGTAGCTGGGAAATGTGAGGATTTTGAACTGTTATCATAGGGTAAATTATAACTAAAATTACTGTGTTGTTCAAATCATTCTTTGCAAATATCACATAAAGTCTGCAAAAATAGTTATGAAACATGTTGCATTTATTTTTACTGTAAAAATTGAATGTTTAGGTATTGAGAGTTATTGGTGATTGTTTATTTGGTTTAATAACCTTATCTATCAAATGGTTTATTTCACTATTTTATTAACTCATAAACCACTTAAATATATATATATATATATATATATATATATATATATATATATATACTACTGATCAACTTCAAACTGAATGCTCCTTTTGAAAAGATGCTGAGATAAGCCTGAAATTGACATAAGTCTAAATCGTTCATTATTGGGACAAGTGAAATGAACTAATCATTTTCATTTTTAACAACTATGTTTTTAATACATTAAATTGTAGCTTCTCAATAGATAACATTTGATATGTTCATTTCAACAACTAAAGCCATAACGACTGAATAGACTACAATTATACTTTTCCATTATATTTCGTACCAGGGCTTAATTTAGTTTCTAAACTGACATATATATATATATATATATATATATATATATATATATATATATATGTTAAACCTAGACTACTTCACTGGACTTGTAATAATTTCTATTGCAACAATTATAATATAGTAGTCAACGTATATTACATCAGAATATTCTTAATACACTTTGATTTATCAAAATTGGTTAACACTATGAATGAGAAATGTATAACGTATTGGAACTCACTACAATTTTCATAACAAGATACTGAATATGTATTCCACTGTTTATATTTTCTTTCATGATTCATTTGATTTGGTTGACAACAACATCCCATTATTATTCCATCAAATAATGAATTTACAAAGTATTATAAAGTTATTCATATTTAATTAGTACTAACCTGTTTAATCACATTTCCATATACGATTATCATGTTATAAATTGATTTTTTTTGTATTTAAAATACTAAAATCAATAATCGATCAAATAACCACTGATTAAGTAAATCAGTCTTAATTTATAAATCATTTTGTTAATGTGTATTTGCTTTTAGGTAAAATGGGAGTTTGATCTAATTCGTCTTTTTTTTAAAATAAATTTTGTAAATGTACAACACTAAGAAGAAATTGCTCTAAAAAAATTAATGGCCAGTTATATTTGGGTGAAATAATTTGAAACGTCGGATCATATTTTTTTTGTTTTTAAGATGTTTCTAAGTGAAAACTAATAAAAGTCAATCAAATCAAATGTCAAACAAACAAACAAAAAGTTATCATATCACCTCTAACATTAAAATAGATTCAGAATTATTAGGGCAATTTAAAAGTTAAAAAAAAGTTATTTTTCCATATTTGAAGAGAATTAGATATTTTATTAACTAGGGCTTGCAAAATTTCGAAATTATCTCCTTGAATTTCAGATTCATTGAAGCTAGACATTAATAACACTGAATTCTAGTACAGTTGTCTAAAGTTAAACTGGTCTCATGTGAGACTTAACATCTTGGGTTCAACTCCTAAATGTGAGTTTGTGGAGTTCCACTACTACTATTACATAACCATTCAATCATTCCAGATTTTCATTGGTATTTCAATTTGAATCAGCTCAAAATTTCAATGAAATCGTCAAATTTAGCGTTTAAAGCCATTTCTACACATTCAATTCTATCTTATTTTATAACACATCATATTTGCAAAAGAATTTCCCATTTTTAAAACATATCGTTTATACCTTAATACTACTTAATACTACTGCCAGAATCTTTTTGCAATAATATTTCTTATTAGGAATGTATGTGTCATTTTATGCTTTGGAAAGTATTTCAGCCTACTTTAATTTGAATACTTTCTATTTTAAGTATATATATATATATATATACATAAAAGTGAAAATAATTACATTTTATTATTATTGTTTTAATTAATATGAAAATATTTAATTCATTTTTTAAAGTTAAAATGTAATTGTTTAACAAGATAAATTGGAATCCAAAATTTGATTTATCAACAACTATCATTGAATAGATAAGATGTGGTTTATGAGGACTATGTTAGTAATGCTATGTTCGTTTATTTATTATCTTAGAAACTATGAATAGTAAATATACTTAAATTGTTATGTTTTTACTATTCTTAAAATATCACTATTCGTAATGATCTGATACCTAAATAGAGCTTAGTAACAGTAGACCTGAAAAAAAACAAAGAGGTCTCAGACCTGGGTATGGATATGTTAAAGACTAATGCATTTCTTAGCAGCTTTTAAAACACACGGATTCATAATGACCATTGAATGTAATAATATTAGTTAATCTTACGGCAGAATTCTGCTCCGTCACCCTAGACAT